CATAAATAAATGAAAATGTTGGTTTATATAACAATCTACCCTTACTTAAAACTATCATAAACTCATTAAACAAATGTTTTCCTAAGTACTCCTAAGTCTGGAAGCACTCAAACTGAAAAAGGACCTTTGTGTAGGAAACTAAACAGATTCATCAAAGCGAATAGACTTGAATTGAGAGTTTAAGGAAATGAACATGCTTGCTGAGATTTTGGTTTTTGTTTTTACTTATTTGATCAACAAATTACTTTTACACAGCTAATTTACTTGCAAGTGATTTTTCCTGCAAACTCCCAAACAGAAGACACAATCTGTAGACTGTCAGTTGAAAACTACTCCTTTCCTGCTTGGGGACCAGTCAAATAACTCTTAGGCTACTCTGTCTCCTGTCAACTCCCACCAGATTCAGAAGTTTACATTTAATGATTACAGGTTCTTACATCAAACCAAAGGTTTCAAAGGCCACACCTAAGAGATTCCCTTCGGTCCTAATAAAAGCTAATGTTGCTAAATTTCTTGATGACCAAGTCTCACTGCAAGCTGTAACTATCAGCTATAAAAACCACTTCCCCAGCCATCCCCTGGGCTACCAAGGGCAGAAAATCAACCTTGCTAGCTGCCTAAACATAGCTGCTCTGCAGCTTGGTTAAACCTGACAATACTATGTGTAGGTGAGACATGCTATTAGAAACAGGAAAAATCGAAGGGTGTTTGAGACTCTTTGAAAGAAGAATTTGTTCTATGGCCATTTCACTTTGTTAGTGCAGAATGCAGTAAAATTTTTCAAGATCATAAGATTTTATAAACTCAAGTATGATACAAGATATAGAAAGTCACCTTCTTTGGTTCATCTTCCCTCTTAGTAGATGAATTCAAATAAAAGTCCTGCAGCCAAGTTGAAGAACAGATCACCTGACTGGACAAGATGTACAGGTAATCTGTATTTGGGTCATGGGAAGGGTTTTGAGCCTGGGTTTATGGCTGAACAGTCAATAAATAGGGCTTCAGAAATTCCCCTTGTCCAGGCTTTGGACTTATTGGGAAAGGCCATGAGTAGGAAATTGACTGGGCCACCATAATGAGTCCTATAAATGAACCAAAGTTCAGACTTCAGGGTGTAAGTGCACAGCTGGAAGTCATGGGTAAACACTCAGTGTTCAAACAGGGAGAACATTGTTACAAACCAGACCTGAAGACTTAGGAAAAACAGAGTGGAGGGACAGGAGCCCAGTCTGGCCATGAGGGAGAAGTATGGTATATGGAGACTGAGACTAATGTCTCAGGATGAAAATCAGAGAAGTTAATCTAAATATCTATACAACACAGGCATATAAAGGATTGAATGTGCTATTCCTATTTCAAGCAGGCTTCAGAGTATAAGCTTAGAAAAGTGGCTGGTATTGGACTTCTTCCTGTTGGGTAGGGATTAGTAGCATTGGGTGTTTCCAGCAGATGCTGAGATTCAAACTCTCACAGACCCTTAGGATGAGTTTCCAACTTCTTTCATTATATTACCTGGGAGAATGGTCCAAAACATTTAGTAATGAGTAGGGTTCTCTACACTGGCTGCTGCTACAGCCAGGATACCACTTCATATATTCCTCTGGCATGAAACCCTCTCAAGCATTCCTCTTGCTTGCTTGCCCAGAGACTTTGATCTTTCCTATGATACACATCCACCATCATAATGCTATAGAGGAAGGGCCTGGAGGTCTGCACTGAGTCCCAACCACTTCATCTCCGCTTGTTGCTTCTGGAGTCTGGCAGTTATACTCTGTAGGTGCAATTACATACTTTCCTTTCGGAGTGAAGACACCTTCAGTAACTCCAAAGTTGTTTATTCTTTTAAGAGAGAGGATCCACTCCAAAATAATTCCAAACTGCCAATTTGCCTTCCAACGGGAGTCACGAGGAGGGGATGGCAGCTACCAGTAGTGATTTCAAGATAACTTTCTTTCATCTCTCGTAATAAAGAATAACAGCAGCAGTAGCAGCAAAAACTTTGATTTTTCATAATACTTCACCCTGTGGGAATTTATCTGATTTTTGCCTAGAATGACAATCTCAAAGAATAATATTGATGATGATGATAATAATAATAATAATGACAAATATACACTGAATAGTTAAGAGTAGGTTTTTTTCAAATAGGTTTTTATAGAATCTCATACTTAATCCTCAAAATCTTTTGAACTGCCATTATTATCTGCATTTTTCATATAAGGAAACGGAAGCACAGAGATTTACATATCATGTACAAGGTCATACAGCTAATTAGTGGTGGAGTTGGTATTTGAACGTAGTCTGACCCAAGAGTTCACATGCTGAGCCATTGGCTTATGATGCTCACTCATACTCTGGGAATCAGCTTTTCAGAACTTCCCATGTTTTACCAAACATAACTAACTGTTTCTCAGTCTTGAACTTTTGAACACGTTGTTAATGCAAGCTAAGTGTCCCCTTGATACCTGTTTTCCTAGAGCAATCAAACGCTTTCTTAAAAGTTTTCCTCAAATTCTCATAGTGTAATGTTATTACCGATCCCTCTCTAAGTCACATTTTGAGCTCTATTTGTACCAATTACACTGTTTTATAATGTCCTGTCTTCATGTCCTTCAATAAACTGGAAACTTTTAAGAGAAGGGACCACATGTCATTGATCTTTAACTTCCAATTAACTGACAGAAAACCCAGGCCATAGTAGGAGCTAAAAATACTTACCAAATAATAAGGATAGAAAAGAATCAATGCAAGGAGAAAATTGCTTGAGACATAGTAGAACCTTTTTTTGTGTCATTTCTAGGGAACAGCCTTTGTAAATGGCCTTGAGGAACCACAGTACCATCACTGAGTTCATACTCCTTGGGCTGGATGCAGCCCCCCACGTCCAGGCTCTGCTTTTTGTGTTTGTCTTGGTGATTTACCTCCTGACGCTGATGGGGAACCTGATGCTGCTGCTGGTGATCAGGGCTGATTCCCACCTCCACATCCCCATGTACTTCTTCCTGAGTCACCTCTCTTTCATTGATCTTTGCTTCTCTTCTGTCACTGTGCCCAAGATGCTAGAGAACTTACTGTCTCAGAGAAAAACCATATCAGTAAGGGGCTGTCTGGCTCAGGTCTTCTTTGTATCTGTCACTGCAGGGACAGAAGCCTGTCTTCTCTCAGTGATGTCATATGACCGCTATGCTGCCATCTGCCACCCTCTGCTCTATGGACAGATCATGAGTAAACAGCTGTTTATGCAGCTTGTGTGGGGCTCCTGGGGACTAGGCTTTCTGGATGCACTCATTAATATCCTCCTAGCTATGAACTTGGTGTTCTGTGAGGCCCAAATCATCCACCATTTCAGCTGTGAGATGCCGTCTATCCTCCCTCTGTCCTGCTCTGATGTCTCCAGGAACATCATTGCCTTGCTCTGTTCCACTCTCCTGCATGGTCTGGGAACTTTCCTCCTGGTCCTCTTATCCTATGTACACATTATTTCCACCATCTTGAGCATCAGCTCCACCTCAGGCAGAAGCAAGGCCTTCTCTACCTGCTCCTCCCACCTCTCTGCAGTGACACTTTACTATGGCTCTGGTTTGCTGCGTTATCTTATTCCAAACTCAGGTTCCCCAATGGAGATGATCTTCTCTGTGCAGTATACCATGGTCACTCCCATGCTGAATCCCCTCATCTACAGCCTGAAGAACAAGGAGGTGAAGGCAGCTATCAGAAGAATTTTGGAGAAGTATTTTCAACATATCGGGTACTGAAATAAGGATAGAGGATAGTAGAGAATTGGGGGATAAGTTGCATAAGACAAGACGTTGGGTGAGTTTAGAGTAAGGAGTACTCCTGACTACCCACAATGTCTGACGATACAAACTAAATAAGAATACATGAGAGAATGGCACAAAATTATTAGAAGGAGAGTTTAATTATTTAAGTTATTAAATAATCATCTTTATCTAGAATGTTTTCTTAGGAACATACTGATTCACTTTTCTCATTCTAAAACATTTGCCTAGTCTATGCACTTAATGAAATCATTTGTGTCATTATTCTATCATTATTTTTAGTTAACTTAGGGGAATGCACTAAAAAGCCATAAATCTGATAAGAATATAAAGTCCTGGAACTATGGGAGAGAAAAGTCATAGACTGGGGTTAATGAGGAGCAAGACAAAGAATTCCAACTGGGTGGCCATAGAAGATAGGCATAAAGAACTAAAAGTTCTGTAGAAGGAGAGTCAACATATTGAGGCAGATCTCAGTCTCAGACTCAGGTAAAATTTCCAAGAACTTTGTGGTTATGTGTAGCATGGTAGCCAAATCTCCAGTGTGGGAGGCTGCAAGAAGTTTTTGTGGCTACAGAAAGTTCATTTTCTCACATAGTCCTCATTCACTGTATACCAAAACCCAAAGCCATTTGCAGTCGAGTCAATTCCAACTCATAGCGAACCTATAGGACAGATTAGAACTGTCCCACAGGGTTTCCCAGCTGTAATCTTTACAGAAGCTGACTGTCACATCTTTCTCCTGCAGAGCAGCTGGTGGGTCTGAACCACTGACCTTTTCGTTAACAACCAAGTGCTTTAACCACTGTGCCATCAGGGCTCCTATTCACCATATAGGGGATTTATGTTTTCTCTATTTAGCTGATCTCATCAGTGTGTCTTTTCTTTGTAGAGTGCAGGCTATGTGCCCTAGACAAATAATCTGGCTTGAGTTTCATTGCAAGTGAATCCTCATCTTTGTCTCTCATCTTTCAGTGGTCAAACAACTGATCACTGTTTAGGGGCCAGTGGTTTGCTGATTCTAAGGCCACTTCATCATTTTCACATAATAATTCATTTTTACCTATGAATACACAAATCCATTCTCATGTTTCTTCTGATTTGTGCAATCTGTAATTTACAATTGTCTAATTCAGTCTGATTAAGTGAAAGTAAGCAGTAAAAGTAGCACAAGTTATTGAATTTATTTAATATTAACTTGCACTTTTTTAAAACTTCTTTCACAAACTCACTTTGCTCCAATGGCCACTTACGAAGGCTTTTCATATGGCCGTATCTCACGAAGATTTGTGATATCTCACAAATGCAGCCCTTTTCTATTGGTTCTCCTGAAAACTCTAAAGGAATTATCATCTTTCACAGACAACAGGATATTGAAGTTCTGCTTTGCTTTCTTTGACTGAAGGTAAAGCGCCAGCTATACCTCCAGAGCCATTACTAGCTGGAAGATAGAGAGCTGATTTGAAGTTATGAAGATAAAATTTTCCTTTCTACTCAGAACCAGTGATGACACAGTTTCCTGATGAGTACATTTGAGATCTCGTATTATGCAGGAGTCTAAATTAAATCTCCACCCAATACATGCCCTAGGCTAAGGGAAATCATTAAAGTGGACTATCTGGGGGTTCAGCAGAATCCCCTGGGGTAACAGCCAGATTGGTGTTCACTGATGTCATCAAGTGCCTGCCTTCATTTTGCTTTTGCCTTTGCAGAACGCTTTTCTTTTTTGTAAATTGAACTCTGTATTTTAAAACGGTGATTTCTTAAATTACTGTGTCCAGTGATATAACTTCTCCAGTTGCAATGATCATTGCAAGTATATAGGGCACTATACAGCAAGAAAAGATAATCCCTCAAATCCCTTTACTTACTTTTACATTTTTCTTAGAAATCATTCCATGCATGTATAGACCTACCACAATCTTTTTAATGACTGCACAATATACTTATGTGGATAAACCCCAAACCAAACCCATTGCAGTTGAGTCGATTCCAACTCATAGTGACCCTATAGGACTGAGTAGAACTACTCCCATAGGGTTTCCAAGGCTATAAATCTTTACAGAAGCAGACTGTCACATGTTTCTCCCACAGAGCAACTGGTGAGTTTGAACTGCCAACCTTTGAGTTAGCAGCCAAGCACTTAACCACTGCACCACCAGGGCTCCTTCGTATATGGATGTACAATAATATATTTATTTATTTCACTTCTGATATTTTAGGTTGTTTTTAATTATTCTTATTATAAATACTACTACTGCACTTTATACACATATCTCTATGAATATAAGCAGGTATTTCTTTAGTACTAATTTATAGAAGTAAAATTTTTGCACAATTTAAATGTTTAACTGCTCTATTGAGGCATAATTGACATACAATAAATGGTACATATAAAGTGTAGAATTTAATAAGCTTTGTCATACACTGCACCTGTGAAATCATTACCTCAATAAATATAATGAACATACACACCACCCTCAAATGTTTCTTCATCCTCCTTTGTAATCCTCCATCTTATCTGTCCTCAAATCCCCCCCACCCAAAACAAAACCAGCTGCCAGTGAGTAGACTTCAGCTCCTGATGACTCCATGTGTGTCAGAGTAGAATTGTGCTCCATAGGGTTTTCAATGGCTGATTTCTTGGAAGTAGATTGCCAGGCCTTTTCTGAGGTGCCTCTGGGTGGTCTCAAGTTTCCAACCATTCTGTCAGCATCAGAGTGCGTTAACCGCTTACACCACCCAACAAGGACTCTGCCTCAAACCCCCAACTGTCCACTAATTATATCATCTGGGAATGATAGAATTATTTGAGGACAGTTATATCCTTTCAGATCTTAGTTTTAAACTTGTTTAGGTGGGACCGGAGCAGTGTTTAGTCAAGGTTTAATTTTCTCCAATACTGAGGCAATACCCTACTGATGCCCCATGAATAATGAGGTTTTCTACTCTGGCTGTTGTGCACCAGCACTATTTTATTCAAATGTGAGGCATCTTTTTCTTCACATTTTATTATTGGAGCATCTCAATTGTTGTCATTTAATCAAATTGAATTACCTGTGATGACCTAAAATGGACAATGCAGCTGAATATAATTGGTGAAAGAAAATAGATTAGGGGCAAATTTTTAGCCTTTTGTACAGTGTGGCCTTGGTGTTGATTTAAATAGCATTGTTTTCAACTATTTCATACCTTTCTGGTGGTAAAATTGACACTGTCCATTGCTGATGACATAAGAATGCCCAAAGAAGTGGTTAGTACTGACAGTCCCAGAAGGACGGGTACAGAACCACACTGGTTGAATGCTCATCTCCACTCTTGAAAGGAACAACTACTCCCCTGGTAGACCATCAGCTTAATGGTGAAGCCTAATGGGTTAAGAGAACAAAAATTTAGGAAATTTTAAAGGAATTATGTCTCTCCAACTGTTCTTGTTAGCCTGGAAAAAAAAAGTTATTTATGTCAAAAAAAAAAAAAAAAAAAAAATCTGGTCTCTTCCCCACATCTACATCTACAAAGCAATTGGCCTGGAATCTTTAAAAAATGTCAATGATATGAAACACTAAACATGGTTGGGAAGCTGTCCTACATTAAAAGAAATGAAGTGCAATTCATGATCTTTATTAAAACTTGAATTTAAAATAAAAAGCATTAAAGGACAGCATTGTGACAGTTGGAGAAATTTGAATATGGACTCTTCATCAGATAGTAGTTGGCACTGAAGCTAAATTTTTTTTAGTGTGATAATTGTCTTGTGGTTCAGTAGGCAAATGTCATTATTTTTAGAGTTGAGGTTGAGCTCCCATACACATAAAAGGAAACAAAAATTCAGGGGGAAAGGAAACAGTGCCAAGCTTGTAAACTGCAAAGACTTTGCCTTAATTAGAAGCATAGGTCTAAAGACAAAGGAAACAAACACCTACAAAATACACCAGGAATTGAATTGTCCATATGGTATTTGCCATATTTCCAACATACTTATGAGGTCAGTATTTCTGAAACATTCTTACAAGACTAGGTTTTGGATTGGCAAAGAGGTCACAAAGGTCCAAGTGAAGGCAATTGCCAGATAGAGAAAGATGAGCACAGAAGCACAAAGACAGGAAAAACAAAAAACCAATTCAAATTAGCCCACAAGCCAAAATTTCAAGACACGTGAACAAAGACACACACACAAAATGAATAATCAAAAAAGGAATTACTCTATATGAAGTCCACATTATGACACAGCCTGCAAATTCTATTAAAATAAATATATTTAAGATGTTCAAATGAGTTAAGTAAAGGCAAAATTTCCATTTACAATGAATAGATTATTATTTTAAAATATCAGGAAGAAATTAAGATCAAAGAGATACAAAAATATTTCAGTTTTATTTTGAAAAAAATGGCCACTGAAATAAAAAATATTAATATATGAAATAAATCTTGAACTTCCCACTGCCCAAGATGGGGTGATCATTCTGAGAAACTGACACATAATAAAGCAAACAGAGAAGAGAAGATTAAAAATATAAATGAGCTGTTAATTGGCTCCAACATTTTTAAGGATACAGCAAAATTTGAGAAGTAAAATCTAAAGAAATAATTGCAACAAATTTTCCATAATTGAAGCAAGGCATGATGCTCAAGCACTTCATGAAAGAGATACATTCACAGTAAACAGAGTGAAACTATTGATCAAAAATAAAGAGAGAACTTCCACTTTCAGCCCAAATATGCAGAAAGATTATCATTCTCATTATTGCAACAAGAAAATTTTGGCAGAAGAGCTTGTACCAGTACTACTCAAGCTATTTCAGAGCATAGAAAGGAAGCAACACTACAGAATTCATTCTATGAAGCCAGCATAACGCTGATACCAAAACCAGGCAAAGACGCCACAAAAAAAGAAAATTAAAGACCAATATCTCTCATGAATATAGAAGCAAAT